CCTTACAAAAGGTTCCCCAGAGTCTCCCCTTTCAGCAGAGTCCACCATCAAAGTGCCACCTTAGATCAGGATCCTCATCAAAGTCCCTCTTTACATCAAGGTCTACATCAGAGTCCCCCTTACATCGGGTGTTCCCTTAAGAGCCCCCCCTTACATCAGTGTACCCATCAGGAGTCTTACCCAGTGTCCCCCTTAAATCAGGGTATCCATTAGAAACACCCTACATAAGGGTTCCCAGAGTCCCTCTAACGTTCGGGTCACCATCATAGCACCCTTTACCTGACAGTCTCCCCTTTTAGCAGGGTCCCCATCAGAGTGCTCCCTTGGATCAGGGTCCCCATCAAAGTCCCTCCTTACATCAAGGTCTCCATCCGGGTCCCCCCTACCATCGGGGAACCCATCAAGAGACTATCAGCCCCCCCCCCCCTTACATTAGAGTCTTAATCAGGGTCTCAACTTACATAAGAAACCCCCTTACATGAGGGTCCCCAGAGCCCCCCTTTCATCAGGTCTCCCCTTACGTCAGGGTCCCCATCAGAGTCCAACTTTACCTTACACAATTACAGCATGGCTGGGAGCATAGAGAGTCCAGGAGCATAGCAGAAGCATCAGGGGGGAGCAGGACTGGAAGGAGGCAATGCCGTCCTGCATTGAATGCTGGGGCAAGCATATGATTTCTATAACACTGGCAGTCCTAGACACCAATGATAGCACAAGACAGCTAAACCAGGAGAAACCTGTGCTGGAGACCAGAGGAGGGGGTTTGTGGTTGTTGGGGAGACCACAGGATTACCTGAAGACCTGTGCGAGCCAATGACCCTAGCTGAGAGCTGGATTTGGCCCGCTGGACGTAGTTTGCAGACCCCTGCTATGTGCCATTGAAAATGGGGATAAGGGGAGGGGGCAGTCAGGTGGCAAATCAAACTAGCTGCTCATCTGGGGCTTCTTAGTTGAGTGGCAGTGTTTCTGGGTGAAGAGGAGGATTCATCTGAGGTGGTACACCAGAAGGGCTGGAGAGCTCTTCACAGGACAGACTTTCTTTTAGTCCACAGACTTAGATGCTATGGATTTGTCCTCACAGTTCAGTACCCTTGGGCATCCCATAAACCCCTCAACCCCGTCCAAGTTTAATACCCCTTAATAATACTACAAAAACAAGCTCAAGGACTGTTTATTGTCTCCAGTGCGAAACGTGTGGAAGAAAATGCGTGTTGTCTGGCTGTGCAGAGCTGTAGGGGGACCCAAAAACTCAGCGACTCCTTGGGGGTACATCCTCATAAGTACAGGTTAGAGAAGGATCCTTTTGTGAAGTCCACAAGAACCTCCAACTTCACTTCTGCTGGTATGGTGTTGGCTGGGCATGGAACAGAATCAAACGCCACTCTAAATGAGCTGCCCAAAATGAGGCTACACTTTCTGATGTATTTACTAAGCAACAAATGCTTATACATTAGTCTGCCATTTTCCATGATCCAAGTCTAGGAAGGGTGCAATGTATTACCGTTCCCTGGTACTGTGTGCGGAACCAGATCCCGAGAGGCCAACACTTCCAGCCTATCAGAATAGCCATTACTGTTATATAGAATGGTTTGTGAATTAGCAGGATCATCTAGTGCAGCCTCTCTCAACCTTTTCAACACAGAGGAACCCTTGAAATAACTTTCCGGTCTCAGGGAACCCCTGCTAAACATTACTATATCTACAACTCATGATATATCAGTGATGGTCAGTAGGAATAAAGCTCTTACATTTTGGTCATAGGCAAGAATTTCCGCTTACATATAGCTAAAAAGATCAATAGTGTCAATGAGAACTTATCTGAGAGGCAGAAATTGCAAATTGCTGAAGGAACCCCCTAGGAACCACTGGAGGAGCCCTAGGGTTTCAAGGAACCCTCGTTGAGAAGCCCCGATATAGAGGATGGGGAGATTACTCCGTTTTGTGGTCAAAGCTTTTTTTTCCTACACTTATTGGTCGATGTACCCTCTGACGCCGAAATTCTTTGTGGATTGCTTAACTATTATTTTGCATATTTCTATCATCTAGTATTCCCATTACTGTGCTGACCATTACTTTAATTTCCTGCAGGCCAACATCCACAAGCTAACCAATGGATTTAACAGGCATTTCTTCCCGAAGGAAATGTCCAATATTCAGGAACTAATATAGAAAAAGCATGGGACTTTCCTAATGTCATACAAAACCTACATAGCACCCCCCCCCCCCATTTAGGTTGCTGTTAGGTTTAGGCACATTTAGTTTTATGCTCCTCTGTGGCCCAAGGAGCAGGTTGATTGCTTTTGGCTGTTCTGTGTTTAACAGGCTGCAGGTTTCCTTACTCCTTGCTGCATTCCAGAACTCTTTGAGCAGTTCTGGGACATAGGACGTGGAGTAGGCAAATTTGCAGCCTGAATCTTTATGTTGTCTCAGCTAATCCCTGGTCAAGTGGTGACCAGCAAGGGGTTGAGGGGATAAATAGTCTTGGGCCTAGAACAGCAGGGTCCTTTGCTTGGAGGGGCAGTCTGCCCTCCTGGACCATGCAGTGGAGCTACAGGTGGTTCAAAGCAGTCCCAGCTCAAGGATAGCTGCGGGGCCAATTTCCAAAGCTAGAACAGTCTGGAATAAAGTGAACAAATGATCTGGCTGGGAGGCTCATGGTACAGGGTCTGGCTGATACTGGCATTCATGTATACAGGGTCACAGTGAGTAGAGGTCTAAGAGAGATCTTGGAGAAGCTGACGATGTTCTCTTGAAAGAGAAAGTTCCAAATTTTTTTGTTGCTGGCTGAGGGCTGTTTTCAGTGTGGGATACCGCTGAAGCTGTATGTCCACATCCTATTATCACAGAGGTCAATTTGGAAGACATTAGTTCTATTAGAGAGAGTATCCTCAGTTCAAGTTGCACTAGTTCTGGAGTATCCCAAGTCTCACCCCAACCCCCCATCCCAGTTTTTCCACCAATAAACCCCCCTAAATATGTTTGAGTGGAGAGACTAAAAAACTGCTGTGTGCCTGGCTGCCGTGCATCCAATATGGAAAATAACCTGGTTCAAACAGCAGGACCAGCTTCGGGTTTGTGCTACACCAGCAACATAAGATATAAAATAAAATATAATTTTATTACAGATATTAAGATTTCATAATAAAAATAGTGTACACCAACATAGTTTCATCAAAAAGAAATGACTCAAAGCAAATGAAAAGACTGATGACTTGTCCTTCTAGATTCACACCTTTTCATATGTCATACATCCTTCGTAATTCAAATTTGTCATACAAGCTTGATTATGGACCAAGTTAAGACTTAATGCAATTTTCCGAAGAGCTTCACCAGGGGTATACTGTAGAGCAGGGGTCTCCAAATGTTTCAAACAAAGGGCCAGTTTACTGCCCTTTAGACTTTAGGGGGGCTGGATTGTGGCCAGTGGGAGTAGAAAATGCCCTGGCGTCAGTGGGAGGAACAGGGCCCCGTCCTTGGGGGTCAGTGGGAGGAACAGGGCCCCGTCCTTGGGGGTCAGTGGGAGGAACAGGGCCCCGTCCTTGGGGGTCAGTGGGGGAGGAGGAACAGGGCCCCGTCCTTGGGGGTCAGTGGGAGGAACAGGGCCCCGTCCTTGGGGGTCAGTGGGAGGAACAGGGCCCCGTCCTTGGGGGTCAGTGGGAGGAACAGGGCCCCGTCGCTGGGGGTCAGTGGGAGGAACAGGGCCCCGTCGCTGGGGGTCCGTGGGAGGAACAGGGCCCCGTCGCTGGGGGTCCGTGGGAGGAACAGCGCCCCGTCGCTGGGGGTCCGTGGGAGGAACAGCGCCCCGTCCTTGGGGGTCAGTGGGAGGAACAGCGCCCCGTCCTTGGGGGTCAGTGGGAGGAACAGCGCCCCGTCCTTGGGGGCCAGTGGGAGGAACAGCGCCCCGTCCTTGGGGGCCAGTGGGAGGAACAGCGCCCCGTCCTTGGGGGCCAGTGGGAGGAACAGCACCCCGTCGTTGGGGGCCAGTGGGAGGAACAGCGCCCCGTTGTTGGGGGCCAGTGGGAGGAACAGCGCCCCGTCGTTGGGGGTCAGTGGGAGGAACAGTGCCCCGTCGTTGGGGGTCAGTGGGAGGAACAGTGCCCCGTCGTTGGGGGTCAGTGGGAGGAACAGTGCCCCCTCGGTGTCAGTGGAATGAATCGTGCCCCATTGTTGGTGTCAGTGGATGGAATAGTGCCCCATTGTTGGTGTCAGTGGGAGGAATGGCTTCCCATCGTTGGTGTCAATGGAAGGAATAGTGCTTCACATCAGTGGACGGGAAAGTGCCCCAAGGGTTTGGATAAAAGCAAGCAAAGGGCCACATCCGGCCCGCAGGGCAGCAGTTTGAAGATTCCTGCTGTATTGGCATGGATATTATAAAAAAAAAAAAAAAAAAAAAAAAAAACTTTTGCAGACCAACAGAAGTCAAACAAATGGTTTATCTCACAATATAAATCAAATCAAGGGGGAGAACATCGTTAGCAGCAGCAAGTATTTTACTAGCATGTCCTGATGTAATGTCCTCCTGTACCACCTGCGAAACGCACTGAGTTTTGATTTGGTCTCTATTTAAGCTTGTATGACAAAGTTGAATTAAGAAGGAACTTATGTGACAAACTGAGAATCTAGAAGGACAAGTTATTCAAGGATTCTCTTATATGTTATGAGTCATGCCTTATGGTGTAAGTATGTTGGAGTACTCTACTTTATTATGAAGTTTTAACAATATTTGTCATCTAAAGTTTATAGAATATTTTGTGCTGCTGGTTTTGGATGGCACTAGGAGAATCCCATACTTTTTCTATATTTGATTCTAGGTGAAGAGATGAGGTGCTATCACCTACCCTTCAATCCTTAAGAAATGTCCAGTATGACTGAGAATTCGAAACTGACCAAGGACCTGCCAAAATGGAGTTAACATTTGCACACACAACCATGTATACTTTATAAAATCATTACAATTGGTTGTTATTTCAGTCACTGACAGTTACATATTGCACAGTTACCTTGAGTCTCTGGATTGCGCAACTGGGATGGGATGTCATGAATTTCCAGCATCCATTCACCTTCCGCTTTTTCTCCCCAGCAATGGACGGTCATAAACTCCCAGTTCTTAAATCCTTCATTGGAGTAATCAAATGTCCTGGAAAACAGATCAGCTGTTAATTTGGTGAAAACTAATCATAACCCATGTTCACCAACCTATTCACAATTTAAAGGTTCTGAGTCAATGATAACTTTACAGTACATTCTTGGGTGACCAAAATACTGTAAAATGGTCATTAGTGGAAGTTGAGACTGCACTTTATACTGTGCAAGTGCATGGTTCAACCAACAATTGTAGGGTTCTGATATGAGAAATTGAGGATGCACCAATAAGTGGGTATGAGATATTTAAAGTGTTATTAAACCCCAATTTAAATAAGTCTCAGTGCTGCAGACTTTGGGACCCACCAAGTTTCTCATGTCTGCTTTTCTTCTCAAGCCCGTGGTTGCTTACAGTTCCTTCTCTCCAGTTGCCCCTTCTCTGGTTGCAGTCTTCAAGGTGGCTCCAACCCCTTACAGGGACCCATAGAGCCACCTTTACATGCATGCTACCAGCTGAGCAATGTAGCTAGAACAGCTCCCTGCAGAAAATCCAGCAACGGCTCCCTGCAAAAAGGCCAGCGAGGGCCCCCTGCAGAAAAGCCAGCGAGGGCCCCCTGCAGAAAAGCCAGCGAGGGCCCCCTGCAGAAAAGCCAGCGAGGGCCCCCTGCAGAAAAGCCAGCGAGGGCCCCCCCTGCAGAAAAGACAGCAAGGGCCCCCCCTGCAGAAAAGACAGCAAGGGCCCCCCCTGCAGAAAAGACAGCAAGGGCCCCCCCTGCAGAAAAGACAGCAAGGGCCCCCCCTGCAGAAAAGACAGCAAGGCCCCCCCCCTGCAGAAAAGACAGCAAGGGCCCCCCCTGCAGAAAAGACAGCAAGGGCCCCCCCTGCAGAAAAGACAGCAAGGGCCCCCCCTGCAGAAAAGACAGCAAGGGCCCCCCCTGCAGAAAAGACAGCAAGGGCCCCCCCTGCAGAAAAGACAGCAAGGGCCCCCCCTGCAGAAAAGACAGCAAGGGCCCCCCCTGCAGAAAAGACAGCAACGGCCCACTGCAGGCTCCACTACCTGGAAGCTTAGTAAAAAGACACCTAGAGTTGGTGAGAATGCAGAGCGGAGACTGTACCTGCTGGGGCGCACACACAGTCATTGTAATGGGGACTGTTTTACTGCTTGATTATAGTGCATTTAATAAAAAAAAAAGAATACGGCTTTAACTCTTTGTGGTGACTGTGCGCTTGCAGTTTGTGTTGCAGGTTACTGTGTGTTGCGTTAAGGCAGCCAATTCAAAACAAATGGTCTAGTGATGCCCCCCAAGGAACTGAAAATCGCACAAGACCCTTTTTTGTAATGCAGTCCACGGCTATGCATCACTGCGTTTTGCGGAGTGCTACAACGTAGGTGCATTACCATTCAAAATGAACAGCACCACAATGCAGCAATGCAAGTTATGTGCATCACTGTGCGTTGCAATAAAGCGTTAGAGCTACAAGAAGGCAAAATATGTGTCCCTATGGAAGAGCCTCGCTCCATTTCCTATCCCAGCAAATACAGAAAGCCCAATCTTCCTAAAATATACATGGAAATCCTTCCCCGCTCTATTCCGAACGTTGGGTTGTAGCCGGCTTCATCTGGAACTTTGTGTCTTACCGTCTTGCTAACAGCTGGGACTTTGTCCCCGATGGAGAAATTAGGTTGATTTGCAGGTCTCCCCTTCGCGGGTGTGATATGGTGACTCTGACAACAACATGCTCCAGGTATGCCACGTGCTGGCCACTGTTATCTGCACATGCGTTGGTCTGGGTTGTAGTGCGAATCAGCTGGTCAGCTCTGATGAACCTGTACAAAGGTAGAACACAGGAGAATGGCTTCCATAGGAGAAACAATGAAAAATTACAACATTTTATTTGGAGAAAAACACCCACAGAAAAAAAATGATATGCAATAGTACAAGCTTTTCATACAATGCGCAATCAATAACACATGAAGTGTCCAAAACACAGAACGTGTATATTTTTTTAATCCAAAAAATACCACTCCTAATATTAGTGATAATTAGAGGCACATTCAGGGGGCGGACTGACCATTTGGAAACTCGGGCACTGCCTGAGGGCCCGGGGTCAGTAGGGGGCCCCATGAGATGCCCCGGTACCTTTTTCATAGGCTTTTTTGAGTTTGGGCAAGGACACAGGGGTCCCATGATCCCCTATTGCCCGGGGGCCCCATGAGTTGTCAGTCTACCCCTGGGCACATTGTATATATGTGTCACACTAATTCCTTATTATTCATTTATTTTTTTTTAGACGATTTTTATTTATTATTGATTACACTGGACTTATATTTTACGGTGTTTTGTAGGCACTCTTATAACATATACAATTTTTATGTTTATTTTTTAGTCACATATAATTTATGTCACTTAATATTTGTGTAAATAAGTTTGCACATAGAGACCATCAAATGGAATTAGTGTGACACATATATACAATGCGCCGCTAATTATCACTAATATTAGGAGTGGTATTTTTTGGATTAAGTTTTACATAGTAATTTAAAGTGGCAGCTGATTTGATATATTGAATATTTAAAAGCATCAATTGGCGCAGCTTAGTGATTAACCTACTTTAACCATTTGACGACCCGGTCTATAGCCGTTTGGCGGCCGCAAAAATGCTCCAGCTTTCCGGGTGCACGCCATTTGGCGTGCTCCCGCACATGCGCAGTTCGCGCGGTTGCAGAGCCGCGGAGCGATCTGTCACCGGCCATGTACCTCGGACACGGCCGACAGATCTGAGTACCGGCCCCGCTGCCAGTACCATGTGACTTGCTGTGACCAATCACAGCAGGTCACATGAGAGTTGTATACAATGGATGGCTTCATTCATGCCATCCATTGTATACTAGTGCCTAGGTGTGAATGGTCACAGCAGATCACATGCACATGTCATGTGATTAGCTGTGGCCAAATCACAGCTAAGCACGAAAAAAAAAAAAAAACCTGAATGAATCGATGTCATTCAGGTAAATGCTTGCTTATAGCAAAGTAATTCTTTGCTATAAGCAAGTTGTGTAAAAAAAAAAAAAAAAAAAATACTGATCACTTCCCCAAAGTAGTACAATGTTACTATGGTAACATTGTACTACTTTGGTCATAGTAAAACATGAAAAAAATCTTAAAAAAAATAAAACAATTTAATAAAAAAAAAAAAAAAAAAATATAAAAAAAAAAATATATATTTTTTTTTCATACTATCACCAGTCAGTGTCCCTGTTCACCGCCATGCCAGTTATATGATGACGCTGTACTGCACAGGTGACAGTATGTAAAAAAAAAAAAATTGTGAAAATATTTTTTTTAATTTTTTCATTTTCCAAAAAATGACAAAAAAAATACAACTTCAAAAAACTCGTCATTCCTCTTATGAAGTACGTCGGACTGTCTACTCTGCAAACAGTGGTCATTTGGGGGATATCTGTACTGTCCTGACATTTGGGGGATATCTGTACTGTCCTGACATTTGGGGGATATCTGTACTGTCCTGACATTTGGGGGATATCTGTACTGTTCTGACATTTGGGGGATATCTGTACTGTTCTGACATTTGGGGGATATCTGTACTGTCCTGACATTTGGGGGATATCTGTACTGTTCTGACATTTGGGAGATATCTGTACTGTCCTGACATTTGGGGGATATCTGTACTGTCCTGACATTTGGGGGATATCTGTACTGTTCTGACATTCTTGGACCTCAAGAAATTAGATTGGCTGTCAGTACTTCAGGATTGATCAATATTCAGATCTATACCATAGTTTGTGAACTCTATAACTTTCCTACAAACATACATCCTAATTTGAGTTATTTTCACCAAAGACATGTAGCAGAATACATCTCGGCCTAAATTTATGAAAAACAATTATTTATTTGTAAACTTTTATAACAAAAACAAAGAAAAACGTGTTTTTTTTTCAACATTTTTGGCCTTTTTTTGTTAATTTAGCAAAAAATAAAATCCCCCACGGTGATTAAATATCACCAAAAGAAAGCTCTAGTTGTGTGAAGAAAATGATAAAATTTTAGTTTGGGTACAGTGTTGTATGATGACCGCGCAATTGTCATTCAAAGTGTGAGAGCGCTGAAACGTGAAAAATGGCCTGGGCAGGAAGGTGTAAAATTGCCCGGTATTGAAATGGTTAAGAATCAGTCTATAAAATAACTGGCATGTGTATATTGTATAACGCAGCATTATGGGGCTTATTTATAAAAAAAAAAAAATTACAGCCAGTAAATCTGCATGTACATTACATCTGTTCTGCGCAAAGTGGACAAAAATGAATGTTATTTAACCACTTGTCCTCCAGACGACTCCTCCCCCCTTTCTGACCAGGCCATTTTGTTCATGTTATGGCGCTGCATTACTGTAACTGACAATTGCGCGGTCATGCAATGCTGCACCCAAATGAAATCGATGTCCTTTTTCCCACAAATAGAGCTTTCTTTCGGTGGTATTTTGCTCACCTCTGCTTTTTTAATTTTTTTGCGCTAATAAAAAAGAAAAAAAAAAAAAAAAAAAAAGGACCAACAATTTTGAAAAAAAAGAACAATATTTTTAAGTAAAAAAAAGATAAAAAAAATCAAAATTTGTCATAAATTTAGGCCAAAATGTATCCTGCTCCATGTCTTTGATAAAAAAAATTCCCAATGCGTATAAATTAATTGGTTTACGTGAAAGTTATAGCGTTTACAAATGGCGGCACAGATACTGGAATTTTTTTTTGCTAGTAATGGCGGTAGTCAGCAACTTATACCGGGACTGTGGCATTCTGGCACTGGGGGGGAGAACTGTCACTGACATCCCCAATGACACCAATACAGTGATCAGTGTTAATAAAAAGCACTGACACTGTACTAATGGCACTGGGCAGGAAGGGGTTAACATCTGGGGCGATCAAACGGTTAACTGTATGCTGGGTGTGTTTCACTGTAAGCACACTGCTTTGTATGGCTCTGCTATGCAGAGCCATACAAAGTAGTGTGCAGGAACTGACGGGGAGAGATCTGTATTGTTTACATACAGGTCTCTCTCCTGCCGGTGATAGATGGCGATCGCTGGGTGTCGGCAGGGAGTCACCACCCAGGACTCGGTGACCTACAGGTGAGGCTGCAAATGGCAACAAGCACGCCCCCTACCCAGAAATGCAAATCACGTGTGTGTGTGATTTTGCGCACCACTGCCACCCTGTAGCAGTATTTCTGCTATAGGGAGGCGGGAAAGTTGTTAAGCTTTTTTTTTTTTAGTAGTAAAATGCTACATTATGGCCAACAGATGGAGCTGAAGAGCATGGGCAATAGAAATATCTTTGTAAGAAGAGATACAAAGTAACAATTCTAGAGAACACTAGAGGGAAGATCGCACATTCAACAGCGCTGTCACTAATAGACATGTGCAGTTCATTTAGTTTCGAATTGAAATTCAGACGAATTTTCTGTTATTCGGAGATTCGGATGTATCTGAATTCTGAATTACAATAGTAACGAATTTAAAAGAATCTGAAATAACGAAATGACACTCGGACGAAATTTGAATTCGAAAAAACACATTCAAATTTGAAAACCAATTTGAAAACAATTTGAAAACAAGAATACAATAAAATAGAACAGAAATTAAAGAAATAAAGAATTTGAACAGAATACATTCAAACAAAATAATATAAAAGAATAGAATAGTTTAGAAAAGACAAATACTTTACAAAAAATTGGGAGCTGCGCTATGGTGGAGTAGTGATCAACAAAGGCACTGTGAAAATTTTGCTGAAACAAATTGCCAATATGGTCACGCAACTCTTCACATAGCCCATATACCATCAAAATCACATACGGATTGTGGATTATGATGTTAGAATTGTTTTTGAATCCATTAGAATCCTGTTCAAATCCTGTTCAAATCCTGTTCAAATCCTGTTCAAATCCTGTTCAAATCCTGTTCAAATCCTGTTCAAATCCTGTTCAAATCCTTTTCAAATCTCATTTCAAATCCTGTTCAAATCCTGTTCAAATCCTTTTCAAATCCTTTCAAATCCTGTTCAAATCAAATCTGTTCAAATCCTTTTCAAATCTGTTCAAATCCTTTTCAAATCTGTTCAAATCCTTTTCAAATCTGTTCAAATCCTTTTCAAATCTGTTCAAATCCTTTTCAAATCTGTTCAAATCCTTTTCAAATCTGTTCAAATCCTTTTCAAATCTAGTAAAATTATTTTCAAATCTAGTAAAATTATTTTCAAATCCGTGTGAAATTTTAGAATTTGGTTAAATTTGAATAAATGAAACAAATTCCAAAAAACGAACTGATCGAACGCAACAAAATCAGTAAAATAAATCGAAAGGAAATAGAACAATTTTTTTCATTTTGCACATCTAGTCACTAATGCCAGGTCCAGTCCAGGGGTGGTGCAGCATTTTTGTGTTGTTACCAAGCATGCGCCAAGTATTGGTGTCCCAAAGACTCTATCGCCCAAGGGTTGACATTCAAATGTAGACCAAAGCCATCCATGACAGACACCCAGCAGGATGCATGTCCAGAGTAGACCCGCCCTTTACTATTCAATCGGTTCAATGATTGGGCACACTTGTTGCACAAATTAAGGCTGGCCAAACATTATACAATTTTCTTGAGATTTTTGGTTTAGATTTACCAAAAACCATATAATAGGAGGTCAAAACTAACAACACTTTCAATTGTATCCAATTAGGCAGGCTCTTGTACTACATAGTAGAAGGTAAATCTGAAGGAAATTGGGTAGACAATTATATAGTGTATGACCAGCCTATCTATTAAAGG